ACCAGTATTGCGAAGATGGGTTGCGCGGGGGGCGCTGGGATGGAGGGGGGGCGCGGGGCAGGGGTCCTGGTGGGTGTTAGGATGAGGCCCGTAGGGAAACAGCTGCAGGACGGACGGTCTCTAGCTCCTCACTCCATCCTCCTTGTCCACCCCAGCCCCGTGGCGGCAGCCCTGCCAACTGCACAGCCTCCCGTGGGATTCCACTTCTCCAGGCGGAACCAGCTTTTCTCCTCCCTCCAGAAAGCTAAAGAAAAGGGTTAACTACAGGAAAACCAAACAAACGGAAGGGTCTGGAGTGCAATGGCGAGGTCTTGGGGCAAGATGCGGTGCCAGATTTTCAGAGGGGCAGAGACAGAGGTAACGGCAGGATGGGAGAGCAACCAGGGCGCTGCGCCCTGCCCCGAGGGCGAGCCCCACTGCTCCCGCACGGCCCCAAGCCCCTTCCCCTTCTCGTCACCATCCCCATCCACCGCAGAGGGATCCCTGCCAAGCCCGCGGCTTCGCCATCCCACCTCGCACCCCAGCTCCCCGCACCGCTCCTCTGCTCCTGTGCAACGTCCCCATCCCTGCCCAGACCTCCTGCTCCATGCCAGCAGCACACCAGTGCCCCGGCAGCCCTTGTACCACTCTGATCCTGAGCACATCGCTCCCCAGGCACCTCCGTGTCCTTCTCCCAGTCCCATCTCCATCCACCCTGTCCCCGACACAGCTCCTTCTTCCTCCTGCTGAGCCACCAGCACGAGGAGGGATGGGACAGGCCAGGCTCCGCTGGTTACTACCCCCAGCCAGACGGATGCCAAAAGCAGGTTCAGGGCACAGGGAGGGAAGAGGAGCCCAAGGAGCAGAGATGGAGCATCCAGGTCCAGCATAAGGTGGAAGCACCATCCATGGTGGGGACTGGATGGTCTCCACCCAGAAGAGCCCCTTCACAGACCTTTGGGAGACCAACACATCAGCACAGGGAGCCCAGGGAGTCCTATGCTCCCCCAGGGCTGCCCCAGCAGGGAGACAGCCGCTGTGCCGGGGGCTGCCGCTGCAGATGCCCCTGCCTGGCCGTCCACACAAGCCTGATGCCCAGGACACTGCCAATCTGTCTCTGTGCCAGCTGGCAGCCTGGGGGCTCCTTGGGGACCACGCTCCAGCGGACAACCTCCCGGCACCCGCACCTCTCCTCCAGGACGGCACAGAGCAGCTGGTGCTGTCGGCGATGCATCTCCCCGCTCGGCTGTGCCGGGTGGTCTCGCCATTGGTGGGAGGGAAAGGGGTCCGGGAGAACCGAAAACGATGGCGAGAGGTTCGGTGTCGTGTCAGGGCGCTAAAATGTGGCCCCGTGGAACTTGATGGTGCCGGCAGCAGCCAGGGCTTGAGCTGGAGGGAGAGGAGAGTGGGGCTGAGCTGCGCGTAGGGTGGCCGGTGGTGGGGCAGCCCCTGTGCCCACCCCACAGTCCCCTCCTGCCCTGCTCGGAGGAAAACCTAGCGCGGATTCAGCTCTATGCCCCCAGCTGCCTGTGGGAAATCTCCAACCGAGGAGGGGGACGCTGCGTCCCCCCCAGTTTGCAGCCACCAGTTTGCAGATGTGCCAGGGCAGGCGTCCCCCAGAGCCCGGCCCCGAGACCACTCCCCGTTTTGCTCCGTGTGTGGGCCCCCCCTGCCCACAGCAGCCTGCCAAATCCTCCTGCCCACACTGGGGTCCCTGGCTGACCCAGCCCAGGGGCTTCGCCTTGGAGGACACTTGCGCTTGGTCCATGGGAGGAGACGGGGCTGACGTGGCTCGGGAGACGTTAGCTGGAGCAAGCAGCGATGGACAGACGCCGGGCGCAGAAGCTCCCCCCGCCCGGCCCCCCGTGATGGAGAGAGGATGGGATGAAGTACGAGAGAAGAGGTGCTTACTTCATGGCTCAGACACGCATAAAATGGCTGTTGTCGGCGACCCGGGATGTTTCAGACGAGAGGGGGTTGGTCGGTGGAGTCGGGGAGGCTGGGGAGGTGGGAGGGCTTGGGGTAGCGCATTGAGCTGGAAACGAGAAATGGGAGAAGGGCGTGAAGAACACAAGCTGCCGGCAGCGGCGAGGGGAAGGAGGCGACCCAGCGAGAGGTTACCGGAGGGGAGGAAACAGAGAGGAAGGAAGGGGGGAAGCAAGCGCGGTCAGGACAAACAGCCACAGCGGCGCCCGGCCGCGGCGTGCACACGTGAGCTCCCTGCAGGGCTCCTCATGGACAAGGCACGGCTGCCACCATGCTCGCTCGGGCACGGCGTGCCACTGCGTGCTGTGTGGCCAGGCGCTCCCATCCTGCAGCCTCGCCAACGCTTCTGACAAGGTGCCAAAACCTGCGCTGGGCCGAAGCGGCTGCTCCATCCCACGATGCTCAGCTCAGCGCTGCCACAGGGGAGGGCAGCCCCAGGCACCGCAGGCAGGGTGCCGGCAGCTGCCAGCATCACTGGGCTAGCTCTCCCACTGCACAGGGATGCCCTGCGCCAGGACTGATGCAGACCGCTCTCCTGCCTGTGTCAGCCCAGCCCCTTGCTCTTGCTGCCTGTCCAACCCATCAGCCGGTCCTGCATCCAACCTGCCCGATCTGCCCTGCCCTCACCCCTCCTGCCCGCTCGGCACGTAACACTACCTGCAGTCCACAGGGCTGGCGACTCTGACCCTCCGTGCCTGCCCCATGCCTTACCCGAGAGCATGCGGCCCCGGCGGGAGGCCTCGGCAGCCAGCGCGCACGAGATCTCTATCCTCTTCTCCTGCTCCTGCAGCTGGGTCTCAGGGTCCTGGGGAGTGTCCACCTCCCCCTCGCCCAGAGGGATGACGTTCTGCAGGCTGTGCAGAGCACCCGGTGTCAGCACCCGTGCCTGGCCCCAGCAGGATGGACCCCGCGGGGATGGCCAAGGAAGGGGTGCAGGCGGGTGGCAGGGTGCACCCCGCAACAGCCAGCATGGACGTGGGCATGGGCACAACAGCCTCACCTGGATTTGGCAATGAGGGTCTTGATCCTTTCCACCTTCTTCTGCTTCTCCTTCATCTCCTCGGGGCTGAGCGGCGTGTCTGGCTCCAGCTCGACGTACCGCTCGGGGATGACAACTTTGTCCGGTGTGGAGAGCTGGGCACAGCGGCAAGGACTGAGCCAAGCACCAGCACTGGGGACCCATCCCTGCTCCAGCACCCACCTGCCCCGCTTGCCCCCAGCTCCCAGCACCAGTCTGGGCACCGCCAGTGGCTCCAGGATCCTGAGCGATGCAGGAGAACGGATCGACCCCCCGGTGCAGGGTGTGGAGGGAGGGATGCCCCATGCCCAGGCTGCCAGCTCCCCCAGGACAGCCCGTCCTCACCTCCTTGTTGATGTCCACATCATAGTGCTGTGGCTCCAGCTCCATCTTGCGCAGCCGAGCGATCTCCTCCTGGGGCGTCTCATAGACCTTGCCAGGGTCGTCGGAGCGCAGTGCTGCCTCCAGGTCGGAGATGTCCACCTCGTGGATGCTGCGGTGCCGGCGCACCTGCGAGGGACCCCAGCCCTGCTGAGACCCCCGGAATGGCACACTGTCCCCTGCTGCAGCACCCACTCCCTTCCCCAGCCCCCAGTGTCCCCTCTGCTGCGTCAGGGACCTCAGGCACCCTGCAAAGCAAAGGCCAGTTTGCCCCAGCCCCGCGGCCGGTGCAGGGACTCACCACCTTGTAGGAGGTGGGTGCCTTTGTGCCAGGGGTGTCGGGCTGCTGGCTGCTGGGGAGCTGCAGGCTGCGTCGCTTCTCCTTCATCGAGCCGCTCTGGTGGCGCTTCATGCGGTCGATCTGCTCCTCCACGCTCATCTTCACCTTCGTCTCGTTGGCGAACACAGCGCTCTTTGGTCTCTCCTGGGGAGAGCCCAGCCCCACGGTCACGCACCCCTGCCTGCAGCAGGGTCAGGCCCCATCCACCCAGTGCTGCAGCCCTCTGGAATGGGGCTGCTCAGCCTGCTCCTGGGGTGGGGGGAAGGTGCCGAAATACCCCGGGGGGTCCCGAGGAGCTGGATGCTGAGATGTGGAGCCATGCAGGGACGGGCTCCCCTGTGCGCTGCCCCAGCTCTGCAGGCTGTGATGCAGCCCCAACTTTGCTAGCCCAGCCACACCACCCTGGCCCCCAGCCCCTCGACACAAGCCCTACCCCAGAGCTGAGCCCGTTGGCCATGCCGCCAGTTCTCCTCCTTGGCACGCCAGCCACAGGCACCACCTCCTCCTCCGCCGGAGACTTGGTCCTGGGGGGGACGATGCCCACTGCGGAGCAAAACGAAACACCAGGCTGAACCTCCCCCAGGGATGAAGGGCAGGGTCCCAGCAAGATGCTGGGTGCTCCTGGCAAGCATGGGGATCCTGCTGGAGTGGGACCCGCCGACCCCGGTGCCCTACCCTTGTTGAGAGCCGCTTGCTTCTCCACCTCCTGCTCCTGCCGGCTCTGCGGGAGCCCCTCGGTGGGGGGCCCAGGGGGGGCCGGTCGCTGCGACTCTTTTTTGCTCTGCTCAAAGCTCGGCTTGGGCTGCAGGGGAAAGCAGGTCCTTGGTGAGCCGCTGTCCTGCTCGGAGGCCATGCTCTGCCTGGGGACAGACCCACCGCTCTCCGCAGCCACAGGGTGACATACGGCCTGCAGACACACTCCCAGGAGTGGACGGACACACAGACACCAGCCAGGTGGTACCAACACACCCCAAACATGCAGGGAGAGGGGCTGGCAGAGCTCTGCAGCTCTCTCCCCTGCTACATCCCAGCCCATTGGGCCTGGGCATCGATTGCTGTCCCCATAGGACAGGCTCCTGCATGGGAAAAGCTTCCTGCAGGCGTGACGATCCCACCACAGCTCGGAGGTGGCACCTGGGAGCTCCAGGACAGGGACACCCTGCCTCTGCTGAGCTCCAACAAGATCCCGTGCCCACAAGAGGGAACAGGGTCCTATGAGGGCAGAAGTCAAGGCAGACACTGGAGAACAAGCAGAGGGCCGTTTTTGGGGTCCTTCCCTCCCTGCATCCCCTGAGCACAGCCTGCCTGGGGCCCGGGCACTGGTGCAATGGTGCTGGTACAGTGGAGGGGTACGGCAACAAGCTGAGGAGCCCAATGTGCCCCCCTCGACTGCCCTGTGCTTTTCACAGAGATCGCGCATCCCGACACCCCTTACACCCTGTGGATCAGCACGCAGCCACGACCGCGCTACCCTGCAGCTGCACGGCTGTTGGAGATGCCACTTGCGCTCGCAGCGGGGTCTGTAGCCCTTCCCAACTCAGCACGGCCACTGCCTTGCAGTGCCAGCCCCTGTGTGCACTCATCCTGACCCCCTGGCCGCAAGGATGCTTGTGTCTCCAGGTCCAAACCTGGCCCCTTTCCCCAGCAGGAGCACAGCCGAGACATCACCAGCAGTTCCCAAATCCTGGTTTCCTCTGGGTGGGCTGGAGTTGGGGGGGTCACCCCCATCGGCAGAGCTTGCCAGTACTGCATGGTGGGGAGCGGCGCCGCAGAAGGACAGCAAGAGAGGCGAGGGCAGAGGAAAGCAGAGGGGCTGATACCGGGGGCCGCAGCAGCTTCGGGGGCTGCCCAGGAGGAGCCAGTCACCGTCCTGAGCGAGCGCAGCGGGTGCTGTGCGTGGGTGCAGGGGACCTGGTGGGGACATGAGGGCCACGGCGAGGCTGCTGAGGAAATGCTGCCCATTGCTCCCCTTGGAGAGGGCAGGTACGAGCCACACGCTGCTGTCCGCTAACCAAGTGCCACCTCCATGCTGTCCCCGCTGCCAGGGCAGAGGGTGGGCAGCCCTCCCACCCGTCTCGTCCCAGCCCCTGCCAGCTAAAGTCTCGGGGAGGAAGAGGACGGGGCCGCTGCTGTGGGGCTGCTCTGGAGGGGTTTCGGTACCTGTCCCCTTTTCGCCTCGCTGCCTTGCTGCCAGGAAGGGGAGGTGGGGTACGGCCAGAGGCGGCTCTCGCCGGGGAGCGGAGGAACGGTCGGAGGAGACTCCAGGGGTACGTAGGACTTGGGGAGGGGAGGTCGAGGTGGGCCTGGTTCCTGGGGTGGAGAGGAGCGTGAGGCGTGAGAGCAGAGACACTGACAGCCAGGAAGGAAGAGAGTTAGAAAAAGATCGAGACAACACACAATGGAAGCGTCGAGCCAAGGAAAGGAGGAGGGAGAGCAGCCGGCCACCGCTCCCGCGGCCCCGTGGTCTCCGTGTCTCCACGCAGAGGGGACAGCGCTTCCCACCTCCCACACTGCCCTTGCTGCTGCACGTCCCCCCAGGGCAGCGGGGCCAGGCAGCGCCGGGGGGCTGCCCAGGTGAGGGGCTCCCCAGCTTGGGGCTGGCAGCCCCCAGGAGACATTGGAATCGCCTCTGCGCAGCCAGGTGGGGTTGGGGAGTCCCCAAATTCCACCCTAAACTTCACGTGAATGAAGGTCAGACCAGCGCTGCTGGACCCTGAGCAAGGGCAGCGAGAGGGGTCTGTGGTGGCAGCAGGAGCTGGTCCTGAAGCCAAAGGCTGGAGCTGAGCAACTTTCAGCCTTCAGGGCTGATTGATGCAGGAGCCCAAAGGCTGCAAAGCCCAGCCACAGCCCCTGTAAGGACCCCGATGTCACCGGGGGACAGCACAGCCCATGCATGTGGCCAAAACGGTGCCCCCCAGGCAGAGCCATGAGGAAACCCAGCCACGCTGGGGACCCGATGATGGCAAAGGACTCCCTAGGGACGCCCCAGCTCACTCACCTCGCTGGGTCCTGGCTTGGTGGGAGAGCCCTGGGAGCCAGAGACGAGGGAGAAGGGGCTGAGGGGGCTGGTGAGGCTGGCCGAGCTCAGGGGGCTGGCGGGGCTGTTGGAGCTGTACGTCCCCGAGGGGCCAATGGCCACTGCAGAGAAAAGCAGAAATAAGTGCGTGCACCAGGGCCTCCACCTCCCTGCATGGGCGCTGCCGTCCGCATCACGGCGGCCCAGGCACCGGGGATGCCCCAAGCTGTGGCACACTGGGGTTGGTGCTATGCGAGGGCACGGATGGACCCTGCTCACCTCTGTGCTTGGCAGTGTCCGTGCCGCGGGATGGGTTGTTCTTCCTCAGCCCCTCCATCACATCTTGGATCCGCCAGATCTCCTTCTGGATCTGCCGGTTGAGCATTTCATTCTGGAAGGCAGAAAAGGCAGTGGTCAGAATGGTTCCCACCACTGCCAGCCCCACTGCACCCCAGCCCCGCTGCACCCCAGCCCCGAGCGGAGCTGTGGGACCCACGGGCGCTCAGCTGAGGCAGACACAGCTCGGGGGGGTCTGAGCCATCACACCCACGGCTCGTCTCCTGCCAGCAGCCATCTCTCCGCTCTCCCAGGTCCCCGCCGCAGGCTGGCGGGAGCTGACAGAGCCCCAGCAGCACAGGGAGCATTGGGCTGCAGCCCCTCGATGGCACCCAGGTGCCCACGGTTCCTCAGCCCCTCTGCCCTTGCCTGTGGCCAAAGCTGGACACCCAGGGCTGAGCACGGAGCACCCACTCGCAAACCGGCTCTTTCGGGGGAGTAGAGGGCTGAAGGAACCAGGGGGTTTCCACCTCCATGGGGATGGCGGGGGGACCCCGGGACTGGCAGAGGGACCCTGGGGCTGGTGGGGTCCTGCTCACCTGGATGTCCAGGTTCAGCTGCTCCCAGAGGTCGTCGTGCAGGGCGGACACCTCGCTCTCCAGGCTCTCGTACTCAGCAGTGCTATTCGCCAAGGCCTGTGGGGGAAAGGTGGGTGGGTTAGGGGGTCTTTGGCAGGTTTCTCCCCTGGCTGGCAGCAGCCCTGGCCAGCACAGCAGGGGAGCACCCAGGAAAGCACGAGGACGCTGCACCCAACACAACCCACCCTGAGCCATGGAGGGGCTGGCAGTGGGGCTGTGCCCCAGCCAGGCTGTGCCCGTGGGAGCGCCCAGTGCCAAGGGCACAGCAGCGCAGGGGAGCCAGAGATGGAAGCAGGAGCTGAAATGGCTCTGGGCACGTGTGCCAGCTCGGCACCACGAGGGTTAATTTGCTTTGTCCCCAATGAGGGACTTTGGCTCCTCTGGGACCTCAGCCAGCCAAGGGGATTTCCCTTCTCTTTTTTTTACAGGAAGGGAGAAAAGGGATCGCGGCAGGTGGGGGAGACAGTCCCGGCGGTGGCTGCTCGGGGCCGGTGGGACGGGGAGCGCAGCGGAGGGGGAGCCGGTTACCGTGCTGGCCTGCGACAGCTCAACACGGATGTTGATGAGCTGGTTCTGGAGCGATTCCTTCTTGTGCAGCAGCTTCTCTGGGTAGGCGGGCTGGCTCCCGAACATCTCCAGCTCCTGGTGCGTCCCCATCAGGGCACTCTCCAGGCTCTCCTGGAGGGGATAGCAGGAAGATGCAGCCGTGAGAGCCCGGCCAGTGCAGGAGCTGCAGTCCCCCTCCTTAACAGGCCATTAACGCACGGGGAGTCCTGGGACCATGGCATGGCCAGGACATCTCCTCCAGCTCAGAAAATCCCTGCTGAGCTGTCCCCAAGACAGCAGGACATGTCGCTTCCTCGCCACGAAGGTGCTGCCTGGGCACGGCCATGACCATGCAGCCAGGTTCGTCCCCGGATGGCCGCTTGAGCTGCCCACCACATACCTTCTCTGCTCGGAGCTGCTGCACCAGCCTCTCCTGCTCCCGCAGCACCTTGTTCTGCTCACAGAGCTTCCCCAGCAGCTTCTGTCCCCAGGCGGGAAAGAGAAAGGGAGGAGAGAATGAGAGCCCAGAGATGGGGTGCGCGGGGTGCACCCGTGCAAATGGCTCCGTGCTCAGCCGGGAGACGGGATGCAGCTGGGACATGGCCCATGGGGTTGGCTTGATGGGACAACACATGGCCCTGGGGAGTGTTTCCAGCCCACTGCTCTCATTGCAGGGACCTCATCCCCGGCCAGGGTGACATGGGCCAAACCTGGACATGGGGCAAGACCAAGCAGCTAAGCTCAGCGGAGGACTTAGTCCCCGAGCAGCGCACACCGCACTTGGGGCAGCACCAGGTCCCACCCGGCTGTGAGAGAGCACCTGGGGACAGCAGACCTGCTGCGGGGGACGGGGACAACAGCACGGGGCAGAGGAGAGACACACAGGACAGATGTTTGCTCTTACATCGGTGTCTTGCTCGCTTATCTTGTAGGCGTGCAGCGTCTCCCTGTAGGCCTCCGGGAAAGGCGTCACCTGCAAGCAGAGCGTGGGGTGAGCCCGGCTCCGGAGCCCCCGCGGAAGGTGAGGCAGCTCCCAGCCCCTCTCCCAGCCCCGGGAGCGGGGAGAGAGAGGCGAGAGCCGAGTCTCCAGAGGCGGCAGGTGCTCCCTGCAGCCGGCACAGCCGGGCAGACGCAGGCATCGGTCGGGAGGCAGCGGGTGAGCAGGCAGCGCGGGATGTCGGGGCTGGAGCTCTCACCCTGGCCAAGCCCGGTGGCTCGGATGAACACGCAGCCTCCCTCCCCGTTCCCAGCCCCGGTGCCCATGGCTGGGCGAGCCATGGGAATTAGCCGTCTCCGCAGGACGCCAGGAGCTGAGTTAAAGAGATGCCTTGTGAATCATTAACTGCCTGGTGTATAACTGCCACCATTTCACAGGCAGGGAAACAAAGGCAGAAAGATTAAGCTGTAATCCCACTTAGCAGAGTGGAAACACCTATAAATCAGCAGGTCCATCAGGGCCTGTTTACCATCCGGCTTCTCTGTGAGTCATTTTCCTTTCCTGGAAATCTAAATTACTAATGGGACCTCAACAATTCAATGCCTCCAAGATCTTGAGATGAAAGGCATAAGATAGGAAGAAGGGGATCATTATTGCTAGAAAGCAAGACGCTACTTTAGAGCCATTTAAAACTACAGGACAATGCAAATAGTCCTGAACCTGGGAAATGCCCAGCACTGGAGGCAGAGCCTGGCGGACGGGGATGCTGCTGCCTCCAGGCAGGGAGCCCCGCCAGCGCAAGCATCTCAGCACCTCCAGCTTTGTCCTCCAGCATGTCCCCGCTCCCTGCGCACAGCAGATGGGAACAGGCACCTTCCCTTCATTGGAAAACCCCAGCGATCACCTGGTCGCTGCAGGCTCGCGCAGCCAGGAGATGCCCTGGGCAGATGGCGGGGCCCCACGGCCCCCTGCCCGGGGCTGGCAGCACGATGGGCTGCGGGTTGCGGTGCACCTGGAGACACGTTCCAGGGTGACAGGAGCTGACTGTGCTTGGAGGTGCAGCCCAACATCAGCAGGGACATCCTGATGCTTTTGCAGCCCTCTCCAGGCAGGGAACAGAATGAGCCAGAGCCTCAGGGGGTGAAAGGCTGTTTTCCCTCCCTGTTATGGGAATTATTGCTCTGGTTTAAGAGCCTTGGGCTGGATTCCTGTCTTTAAGTCATCCCACGCCTTCTCCTTGCCTCATCAACACACGATGGCAAACAGAGGGTGAGCAAAGCACCCGAGTCCAGCCCAAATGAGGATGAGTTCTGGACCGTTGCGTCCCTACCTTGTGCTCTCAGCACAGGGATTTACTGGGTTTTAATGGCTCATGGATGGATTAGCAAAGCCTGTGATGGACTAGCAGGTCACCGAGAGCGTGATGTGCCGGAGCCGCATGGATGCTGGAGTCTGCATGAGTGGAAATGGCAGGAGGTGACCTCAGGGATGAAGCGCGGGGCGGCTGGCGTGGCTGCCATGCACGAGCCATGCGCGGCCCGGCGGCCAGAGGCTTACTTGCATGTAGAGCTGAGCCCTAGGGGAGGAGGTCTCCACCATCCTGTTCACCATACTGATCAGGGTTTCGCTCTCGCTCATCTGCGGCAGACAGGGAAGGAAAGTTCAGAGGTCAGCAGAGATGTGCTCGCGTGCTGCGGTGCGCAGGTGCCATTGGAGCAGCGGCGTGGCTCAGTCCAGGAGCCCTCAGGGCATTGGGCTGCAAGATGCCACCTCCAAGAGATGTCCCAGGGGCTCAAGCCACAAGGCGACGGCTGCCCCAGGCTGCTGCTGCTCCATTTTGTGCAGTCAAGAGCATCCTGGGCTGGTTGCACGCCCTGAAAACTTTGTTGAGGGGAAGACACAGATAAAACCGAGCCAGCCCCAAGCTGGGCAGCAGCAAACCGCACACACAGACACAAGCTTGCACAGAGACTCCACATCTGCAACGCACAGTGTGGTCCCAGCGGACAGACAGACGGGCCCCCCTCCTCGTGCTGACAAACGGCTCGATGCCCTGCCCTTGCGGCGGAGCCGGGGCTGGGATGGCCCCGCTCAAGGCACAGATGAGCTCTGGGCACAGGGGAAGGTGATGGAAGCCTGGGGTTGGGGACAGCAGTGTCCCCCTCTCCAGTCCAGCAGCCTCAAGCAGCGGAGCCGGCTGGGAACAGGGTGCTCCCGTGGCGATGGCACATCGCGGCCGTGCTGCCCGGCAGGGCAAGGGTGCGACGGTGCTCAGCATGCCTGTACCTCCCCAGAGCTGCAGCTGGCTGGCAGCGCTGCCCTGGGCTGTGCCGAGCCCTCCAGGGGAGCGGGACAGACCCCAGCCCCGGGGCCCATTCACAGCCCTGCAACCCAAAGAGTTTGGCTGCTCTCACTGCTGCCAGGACGTGCAGCTGGCAATGGCTGCAGGGTCCCTCAGTACCGTGCAGTGGAGCCGCTTAAATCAGCGGCACCGGAGCTTCACCGCTGCCTTTGCCTGCAGAAATGCTGCAGGAGCCTGCAGCCCAGAGCGGACGATGCAAGGAAACGTGCCCCTGTGGCCACAACCCTCAAGGTCCAAGGGGCGATGGCAATTTAAGCACAAACCAGGGACCAAACACTGCGTGGGGCAGGTCAGCAAGGTGGGGTGCAGCCAAGGGAGCCGTCCCCGCGACCAGACAAACAAGGAGAGAGAAAATAAAGCAGCAAGCTGTTTGAAAAGAGATACTTGACAGTGTCACTCCGAATTAGTCTCTCCAGAGGTCAGCAGGAGAGGAGGAGGAGATGCAGAGCCTTTTTAGGGAGTGTTTTAAAGAGCCTCGGAGAGCGAGCATTGCTGCCGATGGCTGTGAAATAATCCAGAGAGCTTTTATTGCAGCGAGTGCTCCTGCCTGTCCTTGGCTCTGCTCCAAGGCAGACACAGATCTTGGCGATTACTGCACCGATGGAGATTTGCAGACTAATGAGATTGTCTCTGGAGCAGCTCCCTTAGTGCAAGCCTGGCTTTTGCAGGCAAGCGCCTGGGCTGCAGCACTGGCCGACACCTCCTGTCCCTGGCTTTGACTTCAGCCTGGGCCTGCTGTTTCCACCCCACCAGTCCCAGGGGTCTCTCCCGGCCAGATTGCCCCCACCCCGCTCCTGGGATGAAGTCAGTTCACAGCTTTCCTTCCAAACACCCCCTGCCATGCAAAAATCTGGGAGCTGCTGCTTTGGTGTCAGTCCCAGTGAGTGCCTCACCCCAGCCCTGCATCCAGCCTCCCGCCTTCGAGGAGGAACAGGGCCAGCGTGTCACCGAAACCACCTCGCACCCTGCTGGCTCCCCACAGCTCGTCCAGCCGCCCCCGGCACTGGGGGCACCAGCCCCAGGACCCTGCAGCAGCCCGGCTCGCACCAATGCTGGAGGCACTGCTGGGCATGGGGACGCGCCATCCAGCACGGTCGTGCTGGCACCACGCACCGGTGTCCTGCACTGCCCCGAGCCAGCGCGGTGCAGACCAACCTGGTGCGGGTTTCAGAGCTGGCTGCACCCCGGGAGCAGCTCCCTGAGGCCCCGGGCACGTGGGAAGCTGCCCTGGCTCCCCCCAGGACCCCCCACCAGCTCCAGCACACCACACAGAAGGCACTGTCAGGGGGATTTTTCTGCCAAGCAATGAGCGACCCTACAGACGGGAAGGATGGAAGAAGCAAACCAAAGACAACTCGTGCCGCTTTAATGCCAAGAAGGGTGAGAATGGATGTTAGGGGAAGAGATGCTGCGCTGGACGGGAAGGGGACGCCGCAGGGGACAGGGCACACGGGGACGTAAGCAGTGTGATGCTTGCAGCCAGCTCTGCCTACCTGCTGGTCCAAATACTCTAGGTTTCTTTGCAACTGAAGGTCTAAAAGTTCATCCTACCAGGAGCCAGCAGGCATGCGGCAAGAAACGAACACACAAAACATATAAAAGAAGAAGCAAAGCGGTTAGGTGAGGGCTACGGAAATGCCAAGACCTCTCGGCCGGGGAAGCGAGGCACCTCCCTGGCACAGAGCCGGGAGAGCTGCCAGGGATGTTCCCTGCGGGAGACCCACTCTCCTCCCGGCTAATGGTGCCTGGGAAGAGGTACGGCCCTTTCCCTGCATCTCTGGCTAGTGAGGATGGATGGCAGCATGGGTGGCTTATGGTAACTCGTGCTTCTCCCTCCTCCAGTGACTGGTCCTGTCTTGTGGTTTTGGGACCGCGCTCTGCGGGGGGATCTCCCGGTCTCACCCCACCAGCTCCAACCCCTCAGCGCTCCGAGGGGAAACACAACGCAGGAAAAAGCAGCAGCTGTAGCCAGAAGAGAGGAAGCAGAAGGGGGAGAGGTGCAGGGTGTGTGCCAGACTCAGCCCCGTCCTTGCCAGGGACTGCCGTGGGGGTGACGAGCCCGGCCCAGCATCGCAGGGCGTATGGGGGTCCCAGGGCGTCCCACTGCCCCTGTGACCTGGGGCAGGGACCGGGGGTCTTTCCACAAGGACTTCCTTCGGGCATGGCTGGGAGGGACCAGAGACACCAGTAAAAGGACCTGCGGTCCCAACCTGCCCCAGAGCAGCCCAGCTCTGACCCAAAAAGCTGCCCCTGGAGCGGAGCCGTACCTCCTCGGCTGTCCGAGCAAGGAGCCCCTGAGCTGGCCCACCTCCCCGACGGGCTCTGTGCACCCCGGTCCGCCGGGGCTCAGCCCCTCGGCGCCATCAGTGTACGTACCATCTTGTCATGGACGGTGGGGGATGCCGGGTAGTGGTACGGATACATTCCCACAGGGATGGGCCGTCTGTCGCCCAGATAGTCGTACTGAGAAGAGAGGAGACCCCCCACCCCAAAACCAGAGACACGTGAGAGGTGTGCGAGAGGCCAGAAAGCACGTGCAAGGGCAGACCCCAGCCCCGCAGCAGGGTCAGCCCTGACTTTGGGGCACGTAGCAGCACGACAGGGACACCAGCGCTCCCTGCTCCGGAGCACAACACTCGTGGTGGCCCTGAGCACCCCCGGGATGGGATGGGAATCCCATCCCCTCCTGCCCCATCTCTCCAGGCTCGCAGCAGCACAGGAGCAGCCAGGAGGGAACAACTGCAACCTGGACAGCTTTGCAGGATGGCAAGAAGGGACCTAAAGCCATCAGCTGCTGCAAGCCTGGAATTTTGAGGCCAGGCTGTACATACAGAGGGGACAGGCTGTGCTGCAGCATCCCTGCCCTGACGTCCCCAGCGAGGGTCCCCCTCCAACCCTGTGCACCCTGAGCGCCGACGGGCATTTACCTTTGGAGAACTGATGGATCGTCTCATCATGAAGGTGGCGGGGTCAGCATAAATCTCCTCTCCCCGGGGTGGCAGCCGCTCGAAGCGGGCGCTGGGCGAGCGGACCGGGGAGTATACCCGTGCCCGGCTGTAGGATCCCTGGCTGGGCGAGCGGGGCACGGAGCGGGAGCGGGGCTGCAGTGACATCCGTCGCAGAGAGCCCGAGGCTGCATCCACCTCGTCCAAGTAGGTCGGCTGCCTCCCTGGACCGGGCAGCCAGAGCGGGACATCTTGCCGGCCAAAACCGGGGTGCTCCTTCCAGTCACGGAGCTGGTAGGTACCACCGTTGCGGAAGGAGTGCCGCTTGTCCTCCAGCGCCCAGGGTGGGCTCACCCGCTCGTAGGCGGGCATGGAGCAGATGCTGTCGGGGCGCACCCCAGGTGGGTAGTACTGGTAGTCCTCAGGGTACTGGGGCGAGTAGGGGGAATAGTAGTC